CTGAAGCTAAAATAAAGCAATGCATGGCTTATTAAATGGAACTGACAAACAGAATAAATTAGACTAAGTCCACCCCACGTGTCTACTTCATATGATAACAACAAATAAAATATTGAAATCAGTTGCATGGCTTGGTTGCTTGGTTGCATGGCTAAGCTTTGTTAATTCTGAACACGTATCAGAAGTTTTCACCTTGCAGCAATGTGGCATGCATCTCACTTTCATGGCATCCTTTCCATCAATGGAATTAATATATTTGTAGCAGCTTTTAGGATTCACCAGGTTACCTTGACCACGACGTCCCAATAGGCAATAAAAAATGTGCGGAGGCGTATGGTACTGCAAAAGTGGTATGAACCACGGTGGCTGACTTGGCAATACACATAATTACATTTGATGCCTTCTATTTTAGACCGTCATAAAATTAGACACCCAGAGGTTTGAATTGCGAACGGAAATATTTTATAGCTGAGTAGGAGGAAGAAGACTAAAGTGTTACCATTGCAGCACAAATGATAGCATACATACTTATTGGTAGCAGGGCAAGAATTAGGGGTGGGCGCGGGTCGGTTCGGTTATCTTTAGAACCGAACCGAACCAAACTTTTCGGGTATCTAGTAAATGGAACTGTCGGGTCCAAATATAATTATGGAACCGTTCAGGTTCGGTTCCATTCGGTTCGGTTCTGTACTATAATTAAATTTTTTAACATTTATAACAACGTTATATAAATACGACTAATGATACATTCAATGGTTTTGGAATGTCAGAGATTAGTAAACTACCTTGTTCAAATGATCGCTACGATCAAAGCTTCAATCGGCGAAAGTCACGGCTTCAATCGGAGGTCAGAGTGTCGGCCGACGATTGTATAGGTTTTGGAATATTAGCGAGGCTGCGAGAGTGAGTGCGAGAGTCGAGACAACGTTATGCACTTTATTGTAGGTGTTTAGGGTTATTTAGTGGATTTGATCTTATTTGGTTAAGAAATGAAACAATAAAATGAGTAATTGGGCCAAAAATTAAAAAATTAGAAATGAAACAAATTATTGGGCCAAAAATTTGGATTTAGAAATCATTAATTTGTTAATTTGTTTAGAAAAAATTAAAATTAAAATAATTTGATTTACTCAATATAAAAAAAAAATTAGAAAGATTCGGTTCTTATTCGGTTCTTTAGTTCTTGGTCTAGAACCGAGAATCGAACCGTACCCGTCGGTTCTCAATTCAGATACCCGTT